TTGGCTATCGGGACCTTCTTGATGGCCTGGACGTCCTTGATCATTTGCAGGTTGAAGTTGGACACGCCGATGGCCTTGCACTTCCCTTTGGCCACCAGTTGCTCCATGGCCTTGGGATGGGGACAAAGAAAAAGAAAACTTAACAAAAAATCTTTGTTATTGAACTTGGTACCAAACTGTTAGAGTGACTATTGATGCATTAAGTGTTCAAAGCTTGGTTATCTTCCATGAGAGGTTCCAAGTTTGAAATGGTCATATTCAAGAACAATGCCCCAAACCCTGGTATACGGTGTCAAAACAAGGCTGGCTTANTTGTCCGAGTTCGCAGACCTCGGCCACCCATATAAACCATACGTCTCCGATTCCGGAGTACCCGGCAGGAAGTGGTTAATGCATAACTGCATAGTATGGTCTGATTTCATATGGTCAAAGACTTGCAATCGACACGTAGCAAGCTGTATGATGAGCATTTGTGAGAGTAAAGTTTGTATACATTTTACATGGTCAAGTACACTGTAGAGGGCGCTATACATTTTGTTGCACAATTTTCAATCAAATATCCATCTTAAAGAGTTATTATAGTCTTGTTTCATAGGCAGGACTTCCAGTGGTAAGATTACTCAAGAATTTGTGTTGACCAAAAAATGGAGAGAAAAAAGGGAACCAGACAGAAAGATGCTGACAGAACGCTCTGACGTATGGTATGTAGACTGATTTGAATTAGAAAACTTCACCAGCACTCTCAGTCCAAGTGTGCGACACATTCATGCATTAGTGGTCACAGTTCCAACTTAAACAACAAACAATAAGATTTGACGTAACTCTTCTACATCTGAGGGACTGGAGGACATGGAAGGAAACTTACCACCCACGTGTCTGTGTACTCTGTGTCATCTGTCATCATTACTCCATTTTCACCCTTAGGAAAGTTTTCTTTTCCCCTCTGAAAAAAACAAAACAATACAACCCTTCTTCTAATATGCGCTTTTCTTACATCAATATATAGTTCAGTCTGAAGTGCCGCCATGAAATGTAGTTATTTGGTCCATGGCTTGGAACCCATATTTTGGCTTCGATGAAATTCTGTGCTTACAGCACAGACTGCTAAACAGTTACCACACTGGGCTAAATCTCATTGAGCTGTTGAGTACATAAAAGATTTGCACAGTGAGAGCAGGTTACCGACCAAAATGCCCTGCAAGGTTGACTGCCTGTGACTGGCTCTCAGCCAATTACTGCTCAGCACGTAAAGCTCTAAAGCGGTGTTTCCTACTTGGCGGCTCTTAGTATTAGGGCTCTGATTCATGGAAATGCATACTTTTTTCGTTTTCCTTTGGAAAAATCCTCATTCTTGATCAAAGGCATCACCAGGATAATATATTTTCTGGGGTAGGGGTTGGACGGGGTTAACCGTAAACCACTTTTTGGTTTACCGTAAACCACTTTTTTTCAGAGGGAATTTTTTTGGGGGGGGGACACTCATCAGTTAAGAACCGATAAACATCTTAATAGCAGTGAAAGGGGGTCAATTGATTATTTTTTTTGAGCAAATTGGTGATTTTCATCCCGTCATCTCTTTTCTAAAAATTTCTTTTGAATCCCCCCACCCCTTTTACCTTTTTTCCCCCTTTGGAGGAGAGGGGAAGACACATTTGTTCCCCTTACCCGCACCCCCCCCCATGAAGCCCTTACCCTAATATAACAGAATTTTCTGGTTGGTGAATATTGTTCTTTTGTGACAAGCCATGAAATTGGGTGAAGCACGTTTGGACTACTTTTAGCCTATTTACAGTACAACAGAAACACTGTCAACCACGGTAATAGTAGATGTACCTTGAAAGCCATCGGCCAGTGAATCAGATAGAGATCCAGGTATGCAACTCCGAGACTGTCCAGAGATTCTTGGCAAGCTTCCTCTACATCATCCGGGTGGTGCCTCGTGTTCCACAGCTAAGGAAGCAAATGGAGAAAAAAGAACTTCGGCTGGTTACGGAACAACAGTTATGTGATTTGACTACCAAGAAGCAAAGCACTGCTTTTGGAAGGCTCCCACAGACACTGCGCATTACAAAATTGTCACTATCATTATCAAAATTATAATTATGATGACCTCATAAATTTGTGCACAGGAACAGCACATTTGAACCTGTCTTGACATTTTGGCTCTGTGGCTAACATGTAATGCATTGCCGTATCTAACAACTTACAAAGATTTACCTTGCTTGTGATAAATACATCCTCTCGTTTCACTGTGCCATCATCAATCTTGGCTTTCAAACCGGCACCAACTTCGGCCTCATTTGCATATACGTAGGCACAGTCCAGATGACGGTAGCCCTCCTCTAAGGCAACCTTGACAGCCTCTGTTACCTGTCCCGGCTGGGACTGCAGTAAAAAGACAACACGAAAAGGATTTTTCGAAAGTAATGCCCCCTTTCAATTTTCACAAATTGCGTCAGAGACCACAACCGTTGGAAATGTACCTCATGATGGGGAAAATTAGATTGAGAAAGTGGAATTTGTGTCACAAGTAACTTACCTCAGAGGCTGGATTCAAACACACATAGGGTTACAACAGCAACACTGACAATAAATGGCCCCATACTGATACTGACAAAGCGACCTGTGCCTTTTGCCATTCCAGAACATGCAGAAGTCAAAGTCAGCGGTACTCCCAGGCTCTTTAGAAAGAGGGGCCACATCCCTCTATGTTTCACTGTACATGTAGGCTACATGTGACACGAATGAACATGGATACACCCCTCCACCCCCAACCCGCCTTTTGCCGGCTCAGGACCATGTACACTTTGCACCCCCGACTCCACTTCAGCAGTATGGGATAACGGAATGGGTTTAGGGAGTCAAGAAAAGTTGCGTTTCCTAACAAAATTGGAAACATTTCTAAATCCTAGATTCAATGTCTTTCGTAACGCGTCACAAATACCACGACATGACAGTCATGACAGTGACGGTCCGACACCAAGCCCCCTGACCATTTCTGTCTATCCAGCCATTTTGCATGAATCATGTTTTTGTGCGCTTTATGATTTAGTTTTGTTTAATGTCATTAACTCCATTAGACATTACTATACCTTCCAAGTGCCCAATCCCACAATGGGCATCTTGGCTCCGTTGGGCAACTCGATGTACCTCTGAAACGCCATGGCGTAGCAACAAATCTAGGTCACACTCGACGAGTTACGTGGCTCGTCGAACTCTCCTCGCAATATCCAAACTCGTAGTCGTACGCGTACGTACGCGTCCTTCAATTCCTCAACTTATTTAGTTTGCTTATTGTTCAGGGTCGGTCGCGCGCTGCACTCTGAACGCTAGTAGTACTACAGTGTGCTTTGTGATGGAAACGAGACGTCAGAGCGGATTATATCGATAGTTAGTCGATAATCTTACCATGGAGGAAAGAACACGTAATCAAATGTGCTGTGGCCTTTTTTTTCGGGCAGTGAAAATTTCTTTATTTCCTCTCTTCGTACTAAAAAAATCATGAGAAAAATTCTTCCAACCGGGGTTTTCATAAGAATGTGAAACATGTAAGTGTCATGAAAACAGCGTTGAACTAAAGGCCATCCTGATGGTCGTTACGGTTAACTTGCAAAAAGTTTTTAAAGCCAGATTCACGAACTTACAAATCTGGTTCGTTGTGATTTTATTCTGTCACATGGTCACAGCACGGAGGAATAAAAACATTCCTCCATGGTCACAGTAATTCATTGCCTAACTGAAAGTCCACTTGATATTCGAAGAGTGTAGAAATAGTGCCTACAAAAATCATTTTTTATGACGTGTCAAGGATCGACACTCGCTTCAAATTACGCTGTTGCATGAAATGGCTCAATATCTCTTCTAAAAAACTTTTGCACTTTTGGCTTTATCGTGTGTCATTACAAATTAAACGTTCATTGCAAATATATATGTGGGGTATATCTTCAGGGAAACCCCTACAAGAATTATTTTCAATTAACGGTTACTGTCTGAAGTGTAGGTGTCCACTGTCCATGGTGTTTTGTACACCCGAGGAGTAGTAAATGGCGAAGCAAGGGGAAGCCGAGGGCGTCATTTGCCCCCGAGGGTGTACAAAACCCATGGACCACAGTGCAGGCAACAATTGTGTTTTGTTGGTCAAAGCAAAGCATGGTCAAAGATTTTCAAGCTCTTATATGCATGATCTGTAGACCTTATACATGTAAATGATGTGTATGCACATTTCATTGAAAGATAAATTAAAACATTTTGACAAATTGAAACAAATGAACAGTAAATTAGATATAGATTTCAAGGAAAAGTATACTGTTTGTGGTGTCCTTTGTTTTTAGATACAAAATGAAAAAACTTCATGTTTACCAAAATTAATATTAATAAAGACCAGTCGACTTCAAGTGATAGTGCACATTTTGCAACTATCCAAAATGCAACCAACAAAGTTATTGTTCAAACTAAGCAGATGATACGAAGCATTCACACTACAGTTGCACAGCACGCATGCATGAGAGCTACTTTCTCCGGCAGTGCACGGGGGAGCGGTTCGTGGGTTATTCAGGTTCGTATGGGAAGTCAGGTCTGTGAAATGCGCTCCATGTACTACACTGGGCAACTGGCAGCTCATTACCTAAGTCGGTCGGGTTCGTGGACCGTATGTACAGAAAATCTCTGTATGATCTGGGCATAGATCTGTTCCTTGCTCTATGATCTGAACTTGTAGATCGAGGGCTGGCAGCGGGTAATTTAAGTCCATATCGCGAAAGAGCGTCTTGAGTCAAGACTAGGTACACACCAACGTACATGTACGTACCGCGTGTGCAGGGTGTACGTATACATGCATCGCGCGCCGGCGAACGTTCATTTACGCCAGCTTTGCCTATACAGCATGGTGCCGCGGCCTTGATTTCATAACCATATGTTGCGTATAAATCGAAGACAAAGTACCAGGTCATATGGCCCAACGGCTATTTTCTGTGTTTCTGTTATAGCACCTGCCAACATCCCCACGAAACTCGTACTCCCTCAGTGTGGGCCCTTGTGTTGAAATGACATTCAACGCGCATCTTTTCCTTTACTGGTTTGAAAAAAGTACAGAGAATATTGAAAAGAAAACTGAACTTTTTTCAGAGAAAAAAGTCTTTGAAACCTGGCTTTCAAACAGGAGCTCTTTTAATCACACATGAAATAGTTCATCCTGCCTGGCCGTTATTGTTGTGTTTCGTCATCAGAGATTTGGGATGCTGTCGCTTGATCGCCAAAATCAAAATGTTCCGTTTGTTCCCTCTCGTGGCCTTGGCTTTCATCGCAAATACCGCCAATGCTGAGCTCATACCTGCAAGCAGCGATCCATGCCAACTCGACAGACTGCAAGTGAAATTCGGGGATGTGCGTTATTCTTGCGGCAAGCAGGTGGCGTTGGACACGTTCACCAACGGCGACGCCAAATCTGTGCGTGTAGACGTGACCCTGGATGGTCGCTTTAGCGAGGTGGGCGTTTCTCTATTCGATATGCAGGGGGGGGGGTGACACGGGAATATAAGTTTGATATAAGACTCGCCAAGTTGTAGTCTGTGGAGGTAGCCTTCATGCTGTAACCGACCCCTATAACCATGCGATAAATTGTAGAATTCCTTTACAGACCATATTGCTTTGCCTTTAGTCATTAGCATGATTAGGCTGAGGGTGATTTGGCACAATGAGATGTCAACCACGGCAGCCGGCCTAAAGTTACGTTTTGTAACTGTTCTGCAAAACACGTGAGCAATATTTGTGACAAGATCCAAAAAAAAGACAGTGCAGTAGTTTTAAGAAAATGAAGTTGGATTTTAGTTAGTTAAAGGAGGACATTTATTTAGTGTTGTCATTGACACAAATTAAATAAAATCAGACAAATGTATGTTTGTCACAGATAAATATAAATATCATTATTGTTGTCATAGTTATATAACATTCAGAAGAAAATGCCAAAATTTAGCCTGTTAGGTTAAGCAAATGCTTTTGTACCCTAACCTATGGATAGACAGACAAGGAGGAGGCAATCGGAAAAAAAACATACAGACAAGGGAAAAACAAAACATAACATACGTCTCCATGTTTAACATGTGTATTAAATAAATTCAAGTTTTCCCTTATGTATGGAAGTAATGCAATTTACACCTTATTTCCTTGGTGGCCTCAAAAGGCAAATAATTAAAACTGGAAATAAAAAAATTGGTTTGCACACAGTACAGATAAATGCACTGGCAAACTGCTGTCTTTTCGCTTGCGCATGAAATTAAATGTAATGCAACTTGTCTGTGAAAATTGACCTTGCCATCTGCATATGTTCTCTTTGTGAATTGGCGACTTATTGTACTATGAACCTGCATCTGTTGTGTGTGTACGACCGGTACAGCTGTTCGCTGGAATAATCAATAGGTAACTTTGTGCCATGTGCAGATTTTCTTAAATAATTCAATGACATGTACTGGTACTTTGTACATTTTGTGTATAAACACCAAGATTATGCGAACCAGGGACAGTGATAAAGACATGTATATGTGTTTTTCATGTGCTGGTCTGAGATTTTTTTTTAAAGATGGCTTACTGTAGCATAGCCCTAAACGTCCCGAATCCTCCAATTTCAATATGATTTTACAAGTACATACACCCCAGGGGGTTATGGTTTTAATGTAAAAAAAAGTTTATTAATTACAAGTAAATTGATAAAACTTAATCTTGTGTCAAATAAAAATAATTTCAGTGCTTTGATATAAATTGAAATTGTACTCTCTTTTGAATTTGAACAACAAAAAGCATTTGGCAATATGGGTGATTCACAATAGGGCCCCTCCAACGTGTTGGCCAATCACAATGCGCAAAATCTGTCAATCCAATGTGCATTTGGAAAGGGTCAACAGATTCCGCGCATTGTGATTGGTTAACGCGTTGCAAACTCTTGGAGGTGCACTATTGTGAAACGCCCGAATTCCACGGGATCATCAACCACTGGGTCAAATTTCAATATGGTCTAAATAAGATATGTTATATATCATTTTGAAGCTTATAGTGTGTACTTTCTTGAAACATACATCATTTTTAGCAACATTCAAGAATTTGGCTTTTATTTGTCACTGAAAACTTACAGTAGTTTCAAATACGGAGAAATTTGATAAATTTCCTCACTGAAAGTCTTTCTTTTTAGCCTCATTAGAAATTCTTTGCTCCAGTTTTATAACAGTTTGAAGAATACCCTCGTAAGTAACCAATAACAGAAATGAACTATCGTTTTCTTTAGAAATTTTATGTAATGTATCATCTTAAAAAACTTACTTTTGTATATCCAACACAAATTTGACATAGTTTTTTATCTCCACAGTACATCCTTTTGGACAAAAGAGTGCCAAATTACAATACAAAGCACAAAATGTGCCCTCTTCCTAAACATCAGCATACCAGTAACTCTGTAATTTTTTTTTTCAAATTTTAAAAGCTATGATGTTAGATGTGCACATCTGACACCCTGTACGTCCAACACTGCCCAAACCAGGCACTGCTAGCAGTGCAGTGCCACTACAATGTGTAGAAACCATCAATCATCTGTACACCTCATTTGCATACATATATATGTAAATGAGCCCCCACCCTTTTGTAATAGTCACCAAATAGGCTTCCTTTCTGTTTTATTTGCATACATTTTATAATTTGGACAAACCTTCCCAATGGATCGAAGAAATCAAAGAAATTTTAATTTATTTGTGCATGCGCATAAATGGTAAGTACAGGCAAAAAGCTTGAGCGGCCCATTGAAATTTACAGGGGCACAAATATCAACGTCACTTTTTCCCAGTTCAGCACATTTTTCACTTTACGTCTTCGGAAAAGCCCTTAAAATCTGGTGTGAAAGGAATGTTTGCAGAAAAAGATAAAAAACAAAAGAAAAACCATTTCATTTAAGTCCAAAGTGCATGAGGTCCAAAGAAATCAGTATGGTTCCATTCCTTGTGAACTGTACAAGTTACATGTACAACAAAGTGTGTGATGCATTAAGGTACAATCCACCATTCTCGGTCGAATACATACAGGTACCGGTAAGTGGCAAAACGTTTGACATGAGAAGGATAATATTGGTTCTTTTGATGAATGCCATCAAGGGAGTATATCCATGTGAAGTGACAGCTATTTTCAATAACTCCCATTTTTAAGTCTTTTAAAGTCCAATTCATGGTACATGTACATGTATGACATTTCAATGTACATAGGCATGTACGTACATTTACATGTACATGTATATAAGTGGTGCATACATGTACATGTAGTACCCTGAAGTACAAATTTTATTTAATTGGACATGGAAGAAAGGAGCCATGTTAAACTCTTTTGACCTCATAGGCTCAGGAAGAAAACAATTTTTTTTTTATTGCAGTGTGAAATCCTTTTAGATAGAAAGTAAAGGCTACATGTACATATACACTGTATAAAGATTTTAGAGCATTTCCCTAAGACTAAAAAGAAAAAAAGTGCACTAAGCTCGGACAAAATGACGTTAAATTTATGCAACTGTACATTTTTAATGGGTTGCTCCAGCTTGCTTACCTCCGCTTGCTATTTATGTGCATGCGCGCATAAATTAGAATTTATTAGTGAACTGATCTGTAAGGTTACTATAACCTGGGTTTGTAGCTCTATGCTATAACGGGAGAAAGGCAATCTGCATGCGCATGTACATGTACATACACCTAAAGTTGCAGGAAATACTGGTGGGGCCAATTCATGTGTGGCTTAATTTGATGCTGGTGCCATTATTCGTACTTAACAGTATTTTAACCTTAAAACATCAAGAGGATTGCCAACTGTAGAAAACTGAACTTTTTGAAAGTTTTAATGTTCATGACTTGTTTGATCTAGCACATTTTGCATATCTTAGCTTCGTGGGTAGTATTTTCTATCATTCCATTTCATTGAATACCGCATTATCCAATTTCTTTCCAGTTGTTTTTGATAAGCTTTGGAATTTTCTTCAGGTCTGAAAAGTTCAGAAAGCCCTTCATGAAAGACGCAAAATGAGATAAGCTTAGGTTTGAGCTGATTACCTTCTGTTTTGTAAAGTAATTTCAGATGTATATGACCAACATGAAAAAAATGTACGTCCAACACCAATATAATACATGTAATGGTTTTTCTGAAAGTCACAAGCAGATAAGAAATACATGTATGTCTTGTGCCAAAGTTTATTGACAAGGGTCTACTATACTTAAACTAAATACATGAAAAAGATTACCAGTACCTCAAGTCCTAGCACATGACAGTTTGTGATAAAAAAATGGAAACTCAAAAAATTAACTTTCTCTGAGTACATCCGACACCATGGTGTTTTGAGTCAGTTTCTACAAGGGTAATAATGCTGGGTGGGTAATTTTTTTTACTAAATCAATGTACCAACTAGCCTTTTATCATAACGAAAATCTGTTTCAGGATTGTATGCCTCATAATTCACACCATGGAGGTGTCAGAAATGTAAATCCGACACAGTGGAATTGCCCATTTCTAGAACACTGATTAAAAATAAAGCAACCTGACATGCACAGTTTTCAAGGCCGTCAAGTCAGCTCATGTCATTGGTTTTTCATACTTTGGTCGTAATTCTTTGTTTCTCTCCTTTCATAGTGTTCATATTTGATTTTTTTCTTGGCTTTCTTGCAGGAAAACAAGATTTACACGCTGGTGATGGTAGATCCTGATGCCCCATCCACATTGCCGTCCTACTGGGTACACTGGCTAGTCACTAACATCGCGGTAAGTATTGTCTCGGTTTCACAGATCTGCATTTTACAGCTCGAGATATCCCTCTCACTTTCAGCCTGGAGAATATTGTTGGAGATGCAATTTTTGCCGCATGAATGGCCTGAAGAAATTTTTGCAAGGGTGTGTTTCACGAAAGCAACTTACCCATAATATGCAAATGTTCCACTCAGTGACCCAAATAATGAGAAACGCAATCCTGGAAATGTCTGACACCAGACGCTGTGATGTATGTGTGGTAATGTTTTTCACAGTGGGTTTCACTTCTTCCATTAGGAAAGTTTTGTGTGGGCTGTGACGGGAGGTTTTGGTTGCAAAAAATGCTAATTCATGTTATTCTGGTCTCTCCTGCGGAACTGGAGCTTAATTGGAACAGCTGAACAAACAAAACCAAAGCTTGTGTTGTTAAGCACTTTGGGACCTCAGATACATGTCATTCAAGTTACATGTAAACCTTAAAAAAACTCACAATAAACATACAGTGGATCAATCACATTGTGAAAGGACAAATCTTATTTCACATAAACATTATGCAAGACCAACATGAAAGTAGACAGTCTCAGAGATGAAGACACACAAGCCATCCAAAACCTTCTCAGATTTGGGAAGAATTTTATATTAAACCACCACAACTTTTGCATGTCACAAACTCAACTAAGTGTGAAACGGGGATGCCCATTAATTTTAGCAGGATTTCAATGGGGAAAAGGAGTCGAAGGTACCGGTTGGACAAACTTGAAGGTGCTTAAAACCTTTGAAATTTTGGTGGTCCAGTATGGAACTCTTTCCTCAAGTTTACCATCTTTTACTGTGTGCATGATGTATGAAATTTGTCACTGCGTTCCCTATCATAATCTGTGCCCCCCATGCCCCCCGTATGAAGTATTTTTCTTACTTCCTTGACCTTTTTGCTCTCAGGAGGAAGATTTTGCTCATGGATACCACAGCAACACGAATTCTGAAAATGAGATACTTGGTAAGGGCATAACCGGTAGTTACAGTTTGGGGAATGTAAACAGGTTTTGAAAGTTTAACAGACCGAAAAATTTTTCAGGAAACATTTGGTTTCTTCCTGTCTGTCTCGAGCAGAAGCACCCCCTCATCGGTTGAAAAGAGCCCTCTTAGTCAGGAGTGTTCACTCAGTTGGTCGCGATGCGACCGTAACACATGCATTTCGCATTCGCTCAGGAGCCGGCAAAGTTCTGTTCCGACCAAAGGAACCTCCGTTGCTTAGAAAATTGTGCCCTCTCCTGGTCCGGCTCGAGGCTTATTAGTCTCCTCAGAAGACAGTGTGATGTACACATGTACAGGTACTTGGAATCACTGTTGTTCGTCCATCACAAGATGCTGCTTGTGATGGTTTTGTTTTGATAATTAAACTGATCCAGTTAGGCCCACCTCCTTCACAAATACATGTACATGTAGGCAATTAACACATGCTTCTCTCCTGTGCCACTCTACATGTTGTACTGGTAGCTGTGTGTGTCATCAACTTGCATACTTATGTATATGTAGGACAAGTTTTTGTGGCCTCTTGTTGGACATAAATCACTGCTGTAATTGGTCGAAAGAATATGGGTTGGAGCTAAATGGATCGGTCTATTCTAGTGAAGATCAGCGTTGACAGAGATGTCCCCCACCCATGGTTTGTTTTTCTCTGCATTATTCTCACAGTTTAAAAGATAACTGCTAAGAATGTGTTAAATTGATAACTGAAATTTTTAAAACTCAATATGTCTCTTCCCTTTATTATTTTTTTGATCTACATTAACATGTTCCCTGTCTGAATTTATTCATATTCAGATGCATAATATTTTTTCAAGACTTTACATGAAGATGTGTAAATGTTACTTTTGACAGGCTATAAACCCCCCAGCCCACCGAGCGGCAAGCCACATCGCTACCAGTTTTTCACTTTCAAACAACCGAAACAGTTTGGCAGTGGTGAGATCAAGGCCCCCAACAGAGGCGGATTTGACCTGGCATCATTCCAATCACGGTACAACCTGGTTGGACCGATTGCCGGCTACCAAATTCTGACCGAAAGGATGTAGAGGTCAGTGTAGGATTTCCAGTTGGGGTCACACTTGTATTTGGAACTTCTGGGATGGTACAAATTTCAAGTGATTGGTGGTCAAGACCTGTAGGAAAATTTGTGAGCAAACTAACCTTCCAAACTCTTGGCAAAGCTTCCTCTGAATGATTGAGGCTTTATGATCACAAAAACTTGTTATTATTTATAC